TATGGACTAACTTGAATCGGTCCTTTGAGCCATATATATGCACCAAACCAAACCAGCTCTCAAGGCTCTTCTCTCTGATAGTTACATTATCGACACGACGTAGTTGCGAACAACCGATTGTTATTATTTAGTTTGTACGGCGCTCGCTGGCGCTACGAGCAACCGCCCCACTTGCCCTCCGATCCTCGTGCCTACTTCGCGAATTTTCAACGCCGTCGTCTGTACAGCATGGAGGTCGACTGTTAAGTTGTTAGATATTTCTAGATAATTTTTTGTTTGATTCCTTGGAAAAGAAAGAGTTTTACTTGCGTAATTCATAGATATATTGAATGGTATGTAATCCGGTTGTGTAATTGGTTGGATTTATTTAAAGATTTGTACCATCTAAGTTCGAATCACACACAGATGTACGTAATTCTTTGTTTGTGATGTTTTGGCGGTAACTTTTCGGACGGCTGTGTGAGATGTGGTAAGTGAAATGCGGCAAAAAGAATTGTTTATCTCGGTTCTACTCAGATTTTTCGTGTGGGACAGTTTTTTTTATTGTCGCCGACGTTTATTTTGGCTTGTGTGCGTATGTCCCCACCACGTCGGTGTTCTCATAGAATAGAACCATATCCACCTATCCACGAAAAGCGATTACAAACACTGGGTGTGTTTAGCCGAAGTTAGCGCTACGTAGCGGCTTCATGTAGCAGTTGCAATTGCTGCGTTACTTCTGCTGGACAGTATTGCTACGCGCAGCGCTTTTTGTAAGCGCAAATATGTTTGTATACAAATCGCCGTTGTATTCTTCGGTTGCTAAATTGTGTTTTTTAATTATTTATAAAAATGGCAAAAAAAGTGTCAAAGTATTATAATTGAGACGGTATTATTGTAAATGGCGGCCACTACTTAGAACATGCTACGCGTAGCCATACTGTCCAGCAGAAGTAACGCAGCAATTGCAACTGCTACATGAAGCCGCTACGTAGCGCTAACTTCGGCTAAACACACCCACTCTTATGACTGCTCATGGCCGCTCTCATTCTTCTCATTCATTCTTCTTTCATTCAGTATGGCGTATGGACTAACCGCTACAGATCCAACCATATGCGCACCAAACCAAACCTCTCTGTCATAACGTAAAGATGGATGTTATCGAGAAGGGTTATATTACCAAAATTTATTTGGAGAATTTCGTGTAAGTATAATAGTGATAGTATAATAGATATTTACATTTTTTTCTGTATATTAATTTTGAGTATTGCTTGCATCCAATTCGTTTCTTGGTTATGTTAAATATATATGTATGTTATATATTATGCTTGTTACATATGTTAAATACACGATACAACTTACAATTATGAATGTATTTTTTCAATGATTTTTTTTATGTAATAGGACTTATTACAAAGTTGTGGTGAAGCCTACCAGATATCTTAATGTCATTGTTGGGCCTAATGGCACTGGCAAGTCCACTATTGTGTCTGCTATAGCTCTTGGTTTAGGTGGAAAGGCAAATCTTATGGGGCGATCCCCTCAAATAGGAGATTATGTCAAACTTGGGGAAACTACTGCAAAAATAGAAATTTACCTCAAGAATGGTTCGAAAAAAGATCATATAATAACTAGAACATTTACTAATGAAGGGAAAAGTACATGGACTATTAATGGTGTTATTTCTAATATAAAAGCTGTACATGAATTCACAGCAAACCTTAATATTCAGGTAAATATTTTTTTTTCTGTATCTATAGTGAATTTTACACAATAGAATTATTGTGATAATATTGCTATATAATTTTCTTTTGCAGGTTGACAATCTTTGTCAGTTTTTACCTCAAGATAAGGTTCAAGATTTTTCAAAAATGGACTCTCAAGCATTACTAGAGAATACTGAAAGATCTGTTGGAGATCCAAAGCTTCTTGAATATCATCAGGAACTAAAAGAAAAACGAAGTCAGTTTATAGAATTGGAGAGTGATATAGCAAATAAACAACGATTACTGAATTCTAACACTCAGAAACGTGATGGATTGCAAGAAACTGTTAGTACAATAAAAGAAAGAAAACTGATAAAAAAGAAAATGGTGACTCTGAGGCAGAAGAGAGCATGGATGCAATATGATCAGATAAGAAAAAACTTAGTGGAGGTATTCATAAATTTTAATTTTATAAAATGTTAAATGTGTTTATACTAGAAGAGAGAACAATTTGTATTATAATTACATTTTTTATATATATTTATATATATATATATATATACCTTGACAGTCGAAGGAAGCCAGAGACACTGCAGCGAAGGAAATGCGGTCAATAGATATTAAACTAGCACCGATAAATACAGAACTTGAACAGATAAAGTCTCAAGTGGAAACGTTGAAAACTTCACTAAACAATCATGTAAGTATAAAGAAAAAAATTCCTTATAACTCCAACACGTAGTGTGTTATAAATATTTATAATATGTATATGTATTTCTTTAGAACAACAAAGTTTTCGCTAAGAATAAAAAATTGAAAGACATAATGGATGAAATTTTCAAATGTGAAACTAAAATCAAAGAAGCCGAAAGTACATCGTTGCGGAAAATTCAAACAGAACAGACTCGGGATCAAGATATTAAACTTGCACAACAGCAAAAAAGCAAACTGGAAAACGATTTTACTCTCAGAACTAAAGAAATCGGATCGGGTTTGTATATTATTCACAATCGGTTATAATAAAATTTTTCTAATATATATTTTATAAGTTATATATTTTTCTAATAAATATTTCTAATACATATTTTAGAAGAAAGTTTAACGAGACAATTGAGAAATATAGCAATCCGTATGGACGAAAATCGCAAAGTAATTAGTAAAATCAGTAGTCAAAACCAGTCGCTGAGAAATAGCGAAGAAAACGTCAGTCGTGAAATAAGAAGTACGTACGTTCATTTACGTAAAGTTGTTGTTTTTATCTTTACTATCTTTACTTATTTGTTCTCGGAAATAAAGTAAAATTACCGTTGTATAGCCTTCCAAGCGCACCGGCAAACTCTTGATATTGAGGCGAAGCGTCTAGATATCTTGAGACAAAGAAGTATAGACGCGTACAAAGCTGTGAATTGGTTAAGAGAAAATCGTGATAAATTTTCGACCATGATTCACGAACCGATGTTGCTGAGTATTAACGTAACAGATGCCTCATATGCGAAATATTTGGAAACCTTAATACCAGTAAGAGATTTGATTGCGTTCACGTGCGAGAGCACGCGAGACATGAATCTGCTCATGAAATATCTGAGGGAGCAGCAAAATCTAACGGTCAATGCGGTTCATTCTGATCCTACAAAACAAGTATTTATGCAACCAAATGTTCCGATAGAGGCCATCAGAAAGTTCGGCTTCAGGCATTACATGTCAACACTTTTTGAGGCGCCGCCTGCTATAATGAAATATCTGGTCTCGATGTACGGCTTAAACAATATTCCTATTGGAACCAAAGAAGTAGAGGATAATACGGATCGTATTCCGCATAACTTTACTTGTTACTTTAGCGGTAAACATATATTTCCTAATTATATTGTTGCGCAGAATCAAGATCTGTAAATTTATCGAATCTGTTTTTGTTTTCAGAAAATAATATCTATTCGGTGAACACGTCCAAATATACGCGAGAAACTTCCACTAGAATATCACGAGTCTTGGGCAACGGCTTGTTGTCGATTGTTTTGGATAAAACAAAACTGCATCAGCTCGATGAGAAGTACGCTAATTGAACATAAATATTGAATACGTAATAATAAAAGACTTAAAAATATTTTAAACGTGATAAAATCGTATATGTTTGTTTTAGAATAAAATCTTCGCAAGAAAAAAGAGACAAAATCTTGAATCTCATTAAAGAAACAGATGACAAAATTCAAGACGAAACGAAGGAATTGGACAAATATCGAGCTGAAAGAAGTAAATATCAGCAGCACATTCAGCAAATTCAGGCATTACAAAGCAGAATTCGCTTGGCCGCGGAGAAGATCAAACAGATGGAAGAAGACCGAACGAGTATTGAGGATATAAAAGCGGCGTGCACTAAGGAGATCAAGGTTCTTTAATTGACACTGCACATTCATTCACTGCGTATCTCAAAGCTACCTTGCGTCTAATTTACACACAATTACCACACACACACACACATTTTTCTATATAATATAATCGCTTACTAATTTATACATTTATATATTAAAACATTTGTTTACAGGCTACTATAATGAAACAGTTAAAAATATATAACGAATGTAACGCAATTTTGAAAGAATGTTTTACCTGCGTTACAAAATCCGAAGAAGTGAAATTTACTCTAGCATTGTTACAACAATCTTTGATGACGAGAGAGAACGAAGCCGAAGAACTGAAGGATAAACTGGCGAAAGCGGAGAGAATATTTAAACAGTACGATGAGGAATTTCAGCCAAAGAAAAAAGAAGCTCAAAGATTGTACAATGAGGCATTGAGAAGCACAGATAATATTAGTCCGAAGGATAACGGGTTCAAAGTTTTTAACAAGGTCTTTGAAAAGTTGCCGGCTACCATAGCCGAAATAAATAACGAGTTGGAAGTCTGTCAAGCTAAGGTTTATTGCATGGCGAAAAATGTGGACGCCGAAAATGTAAGTATACACATGAAAAATTTTATATTTTCTCAGTGTGTTGTATTAACGCAATACGCGGCAGAAATGATTGTGTATAATTTTCTTCTTTCACCTTTAGGTATTACGCGAATATGAGAACGTGCAAAACAACATTCAAAACTTATCGGACTTCGTTAAAACAAAAACTAGCGAACTGGATAAAATGAGAAATGAGATTGAGGTGTTGAAAGAAAAGTGGCTAACACCGCTGGAACAATTGATTGAAAAGATAAATACGAACTTTAGTTCGTATTTCGCCGCGATGGACTGTGCCGGCGAAGTCACGCTTGCGCACGGCGAAAATGTCGTGAGTGCACATCACACATTGTATACAATTATGCAAAACAACAATTAGCTTCGGTGTTCCCAATGGCCGAAATATATATTTTCAGATGGATTTTGATCAGTACGGATTGAAAATCAAAGTAAAGTTCCGAGACGCTGACGACTTGCAGGAATTAACGAGACACTTTCAAAGCGGTGGTGAGAGAACCGTAACGACTGCCATATACATGATCGCGTTGCAAGAATTATCGCGCGTGCCGTTCCGCTGCGTGGATGAAATTAATCAGGTAATTTATCAAATGGTTTATATGTTTCTTTTTGCAAAAATTTATAGCTTGTTTCTTATTATCAATTAACTTGTACATTTCGCGATAATTTACTTCGTCAGGGTATGGACGCGATTAATGAAAAGCGTGTTTTTGAATTACTTGTCAAAATGACTGGCAGGCCAGGTAGTTCGCAATATTTTCTGCTTACACCAAAGGTAAACATAATGAATCTCCGTTATGTTAAACAATTTTGTTAATTGTGTTAATTTTTATCTTTCTTTCAGCTTTTATCTGATTTAACGTACGCTGAAACGGTAACGATACACTGCGTATTTAACGGGACGGTTGTTGATGATAACGATGAAGATTTCGACGAGTTCGATACGGAAGCCTTCTGTAAAGAACTCGTATCGATTGCTAACGAATAGAAGAGTTCTGTATAACTGTGTTATACAAGATATCGTAAGATGATTTCTATATATGAGATTTTGTTTTCGAAAGAAAAACAAACTTCGAAAGATTGAAAAATTATTATATTTATACTTTGCTAAGTTTGAATAATCTCCAACAACTCTATTGGAAGTTAATATCACACATACGTTTACAGAGTATTAGTTATTAGTATATATAAAAATAAGAAAAAGTACAATTTTACTTATTTTGTGTGTACAAATTTTTTTCATAATCACTTCAAAAAAAAATTACATAATAATAAATTCTATATATCGCAATAAAAATTATGTACAAAATACTACCGCTATATTTTTACATCTTATAATAAGACATTATGGTTTGTATTTTTTATATAAATTTTGATAATCGCGTTAACAAGATGTGTTCGACAACATATGGCGGGATTAATTATTCGAGCTTACAAAGTACAAATATGTTATCAATTGTTTGTTACAGTTTTATTATTTATTTTATTGAAATCTAATTTATGTTTGCTCTCTTGAAAAAAACGAAATCTCGTATAAAAATATTTTACATTTGTTTTTAAACCGCGCTCCGTCCTGGTAATCGTATACAAAAATAAGTATTTTTTGTTACCTTTATGTAAATAATACAGAAGCACGCGTCTGTGTACACAACTTCTTTTAAATTGAGGAAATTCGTTTTTTGTTTATTAGGATAGAGTGCAGATAATATGGTAAGAAACGTTTACCACAATTTTTTTTTATATTTACACAACATATATTTTAGCTTGTCAAAGTATAGTTTTTTTTTGTACAATTTTTTAATTACATATATTAATTACATCAATATATTAAATACACCAAATAATACATTTAACGACAATAACAATCAAAGTATTGATACTGTAGATAGAGTGATTTGATACATTTTTTACGTATAATAATGTGTTCCTAAGATGTTCCTAAAACCAGTTTGTTGCAAACACAACATAAAATCATATATTTTCAGATAACACGTGTGACTTGTTTACTTCTTTCTTTTTCCCTTCTTCTTTTGCGCTTCTGGCCACGGGAAGCCTCGACATTTCAACACATCCATGATGTTGTGACAAGTATAATAAGCGTTTTCCATTACTTCCTCGTTGAAGATATCCATGGTAAATCGTGCTTTTCCGCCGCTTCTTCTCGATTTCTTCGTTCCCTTGTTCTTCCCGCCGTTGCCCCCTTTAGCGCCTTTCTCATTATTTTTCCCGTTACTTTTTGGACCGGTCTTTTTCTTGCCCTTGCCGCGCGTTGCCATTTTGTTAACGATTGATCGACCGATACTTAACGTACACAGATCATAGTTTACATCGCTTATTAATTATAATAAGGCACATCGTTCTGGTAAGTTTATATATATATATATACAAACTTATATATTTTATATATATATTTTTAATAATAATAAGCCATTTTATTTTATGATACCTACTAATTACACACCTATTTATTAATTACCGATATTTTTGAAGCTGGGAATAGCTCGTCTCGCTTCTCGACGGGGTTCGCAGTCCGCTCAGAAATGGTAGATCCTCGGAAAAGGAGTGGGGAATATGAATCGACAAAGCGATAGTGTAAGAAAATGTAATTCTACGAAAAAACCAATAAATCTATCTCTTTACCTGTAATTTATACGATATGTGAGTATATTCGGTATTTAATTTCTCTTTTCCTCGGCTTGTTTTAACAGTATCACGATTCTTGTGTGGAAAGAGTCAGGCATGAACCAGACACAAGTTAGTAAGTCGCGTTGCTACGTCAACTCGCAACAGTTATGTCAATAAGGTGAGTTTATTGATCATTAACAATAATGTCGATTAGAAAATCACAATAAATTATCACAAAAGACAAAGAAAGATTTCGAAGATGATAAATAAAAAAAGACCAAAAAAAAGTATTAATGCAAGACACACGAATACGCTTGACGACTTGTCACATTTAATATTCACGTAGGATTGTTTTTTTTTTTTTTTTACGAATAAACTTTTTCTCAGGTGATGTCGTAAACAAAGTTTTGATTACAGATTTACGACAAGCTAGTCGCGCGAATGTTTTCTTGACCTTAAACGATGCTCATTAACCGACGCGTTAATTGTCGCAAGACTTATATTGGAAATTACGAGGTCAATATACGAACTTGTCTCGTTACGTGATTTTTTTCTTTAAAGAATATCTTCGACCTCATTAAAATTATTATTATTTGAAATCGTGCTTAAAGAATTTTCGTATCCAGACACGGCACATACACATGTAAACATCGCAGATATTAATTTTTTTTGATGAATAAACATCAAAATTGACGTTACGCGCAAGTTTAAATATTTCTAAATCTACTTGGAAGATGATTAATAATTTTTTTATTAATTTTCTATATTAAAATACATTAAATGTTTCTTAAAAACATACAAAACTATGTAAACAATATAGACGTAATAACAATTTTGCGTTAGCAACAAGTTTTTTTTTTTTCCAAAAACGTAAAACCCACCTTCGCACGGTCCTGTTTGCGCGCGTTCGGTGAATAGACTCCTTTTAATCTCCTTATGGCGAACGCGTACGTACGGAGTGTGCGGACTGCGAACGTCACGTCAGTTGCCCGGCGGATTCCAACGCGAGCAAACGTGATATACTTATCACAAGACTGTCGTCGCGAAGCGGCGGTTCGCTCAACTCGCCGGTCCCAACAGGTTACCAAAGCGTATCCGAAAGTCGCGGAAAGATCCGTTGTGCGACAAAAAAAAAAAAAAACAAAAATTGATCGTCCGTCCGTTCGGCAAAAATTCCTTTGAGAAACGAGCAGCTGGAATTTCCGTTTCCAACACGTTCGACGAGCATCTCTCTCGTCAATACTTCGCCAATAGTGTGTCACAGAAGGGTGTGTTTAAAGGACTTGAAAATTTTATATCAAAAATATAATTTTTCGTAGTCACAGGAGAGCGACGTGATGCGATCGGTTCTTCTTTCTCGATCATTTTTTAATCCGTTGTCACGTTCTGTGTCTTTCCACCGGGACTTGCGGGATTTGTTTTCATAATTTGTTATATCTGTTGATTTAAAAGAGGGTGTTTTCTCGCTCCCACTTTCAATCGTTAACAATCCAAACGAGCACGAGAAAATCACTGGCATTCCGTTTATGCGTCATCTTGGCATTCGCGTGACAAAAATGATTCATTTTTGCCAATGTGATAATCGAGATAATCGCGTGAGCTAATCATTTGTGTTCGATTTTTTTTTTTTTTCTTAAGTATTCGCAAACAAGTCTTCTGTACATCGGACACGCATTACTCACTCATATAAAATGCCAATTTTGATAAAAAATGCGTATGAGAGATCGGCAAGATAAATTTACAGTGTTATCGATTTTGTTTTAATCGATATGATTCTCGATAACAGAGACTGTACGGACACAAAACACACATGGACAAGAAATGCAGATTGAAGTAACGCGTCAAGAATCCGCACTTTGTTTTTTTATAGTAAAAAGCAAGGTTTTTTGTCCGAAATGTGTACAACAAACATCTTTTCAACCGATTCACACACACAAATGTCTCCCGGCGTTCACGTCAATCTGCATTTCTTGTATGCGTTTTTGTCACATTACATAATTTATGAGTATCACCTGACGACTGAGTATATATTGTATATTCTATGAATTTTTATTGCTTATATCATATTCTTTTTCCGTTAACAGGTCACGAATCGTAGTTTATTCACGGTCAGCTAGTCGCGGTCGCGCGTGTCCGCTCCATAACCTGTCAACGTCTCATATATAAATCTACAAAAGGCGAGGACAGGCCAAGAGTTCTTCGTGAAAGAATAACCAACAGGTGAGAATACGAGTTATATATCACAAAACATAAAAATATTAAAAAAAAAAAAAAGAGTGACATCTTCAAACAGACGTGAGATTGGTAAACTGATAAAAATAAAAACCGTACAAGTCGGAGAAACAAAATGAATAATAAATAAATTTTCATAAAGTATTTTAAAGAAAGTAAATAGTACATAGAGAAAAAAACATGTAGATTTTTTAATACAAAGTATATATTAATGTAATATATAATGTGCAAAGATTAAGATACAAAAAAGAAACGAAGATACACAAAAATGAAAAAGAGAGTAGAATTGGTCCTGTTTCTTTCAGATCAAAAAACAACTCGAGGACAACATGTCCACAGCGTTGCTAGCTGTAGTTGCTGTGATCCTATGTATTCTATTTAGGATACTGAATGTGAACAGTGCTCCGCAGAAGCCTCTTCTCATCTGTCAGGATCAGGCCTTCCTGTCAACGGTGCTCAAGATCGCGCCGGTAATCGCCGAACCGTAAGTGTCTCGATTTATTTTCCGCACATTTTTCGCACTATGACACACGTGAGTCGAACCGAGAGAATCGGTTCGACTCTAACGATTTTCCGGCGCGAATAAATCGCGTCGATTATTTTCTGTAGACAAGAGTCCCATTGGATTTTGTAGTTCACAGAGACACGGAAAGTTAGGTTAGGTCAGTGTCTTGATAAGCGTCTGATTGAACAATGTGCTCCAGTTGTGAGAGTGTGTCGGTTTCTCTCATTTATATCTTCGTATGCGTACAAGAGCGTAATAATAATAAAAACACCGAAATTTGGAAAACTTTATCAATGGCGCTTTGATAATGTTATATATATGTAAATTATTATGTTCATGTGAGAACAAATATTTGAAATTGTTACGTCGCGTTCGAATATTATCAACGGAAATCGAGATTTATATTCACGTGCGTAAATCTTCAACACGTGCGGATGAAAATCACGTTGTGACCCAACATAAATATTGTTGGGACATTTCGCTGATTGAAGAGAAAGATAGAAAAATCGAGACACACAATTTATAATCGTGATTTATTTCAAATTTATTATTTGGTTTGCAAATTATCTCGAGCATTAGTAATAAATGCACGTCGTTGTCAGTTCATCGCGATGATGTAAGATTTCTTTGCGTTCAACTATATCCATTTGTTTGACACACACACACACACGTATAATAACTTAGTTTTACAACGAATAATGATTTCTGTCAGTTAATGTGGCTTTGCACAAACGAGGAAACATTTACAAAGATATCGTATATCGCGCGAATTAGTTGTTTAAATGTTATTTTATTTTTACTTGTAGACGTATTCTCCGATCTTTTGTGCTAAATGATCTGTGAATAATAACATGTGGTAACAATATTAAAAGTTAATTATCCAGACAAAGACAGCACTTAAATTAAAGGCCACACGGACTGTATATATACATATATATACATATATATATATTTTTTTTGTTTTATTTTTTATTCCGCACTCATTTTGCGAATGGTTCGAGAATGGCCTGAAATATGTAAATCTACTTAATAATATCTTTATCAGAAACAGAGAGATAGATAATTAAGTGTTTTATGCTTTACACAAGTTAAACGAGCTATTAAATTAATTAATTGCTTCCGATGTGTCGCACGTGTGGAAATGTTAGAACAATATGAAAAAAAAGTCGCACACGCGCTTCGTTCTAATTGCGATTTCTTCATCCTTTCAATCGTATCGCGTGAAAGCGTTTTAGAGAGCGAAAACACGCAAACCGTTTATAAATGTTTTTCATATAAGCGACGAAATATATTTTCAATTATAGTTTTTCACAGACAATATGTAATAAACGTAATTAAATTCAAACACATAATAATTACAAACTAATTAAATTAAAGTACATGACAAATTAATACAAATAATGCGTTACAACTAAAGAAGACAATTTTCTTGCCGTTTGTTGTTATCTATCATCTTTAATAAAAATAATGCGTTACAACTAAAGAAGACAATTTTCTTGCCGTTTGTTGTTATCTATCATCTGTCGCTTGAAAATACAATGGCAATTTTCCGTAACATCTTCCGAACGCGACAATTGATTACGTTATCTCGATTGCGATAGAAATTTCTTCTTATAGTCCTTTTATTGAAGAATAGAAGTTACGTTAACAATCAACCTCTGGCAGAGAGTTGTCGCTCGTCGCTTTTACTTCGTCGGTCGTTTAATTTTCCACGCGGCACATTCAGGATTCGAAATTATAGATTTCTTCATAGTCATCTTCATGTTCCGTTTCTTCGAGAGTTGCGGAAATCGGTATCGCTCGCGACACGCTTCGTTTCCACCTTCATCTCCGTTTGTGCGCGAGCGACATTTTCCGTCGCTTTCTTCGGCTTGTATGCAATAAATGACATTTCTGTCGCAATCAAAACGTTGCAATCGTTTGCGAGTTCTCCTTGGTGCAATTATCGCATGTGATTATTCCCTTGATTTATTCCGTATAAAAGCCAGATTTTTTTGTTTCCGCGTCGAACGAGAAATCTGTTCTTTGTATTTACGTACGTAGTTTTTTTTTCATTGCCTTCAGTATTTATCTCCCGCGACTCAACCAAAACAAACCGAGCGCCCGCAAGAGGAAAAAGTTTAATCACAGAGTGTAGGTTGTCACGCAATTTGCGTGAGAGAGTTTAGCGATCGACTTTAATGCGGGTTGTACATTGGAGAGTGGCAAAACTACGTGTGTGTGTTATTACTGTCTGCCTAATAATAAAACAGGATATGTCGATAACCGACACGCTTCGACTTCGTGTGACGTAATTGTTCTGATTAAAGAAATTGGAGGAAACAATGTAATTCTCCGTGAGCTGATAACATTTGCTAGTAGTAGATACGCGCGACAAAATCGCGCGATCGTGAAATATCGAAACGTCGAAACGCGAAAGGCGATGAAATTTTGCAACAAAAAAATAAATAATTGCGATTCAACGATTGATTTCATTGTAATTTTCTTTACGAACGACGGAATTTTATATTTAACGTACGTAAATTACTGTAATCTTATCACGGTTTTATCTGATCGATCTATTGCTTCCATTTTCGTTGAAATACGCGTTTGACATTGAAATTGACCCACTTTACAATTCTAGTTTGTTCGATATGGCAAATGGTTTTTTTCTTAGATAACGCAAATAATTTTCCGAATAAATGGCAAACAACGCGATAACGTCGTCAAATATTGAACGAGCGCAAAAACTTGGTAGACTTCGCGATAGAAAAATCGAGCAAATAATTTAAATTGAAAATATCATATTGTGTGTATATATTGTACATATATAATAATGACAGTTAAATGACGACCTTTCCAGGGTGGATATAATATTTACATAATTTATAAGTGCTGCGTAAAATGCTGAATCAGTCACGACAGCATTGAAGGTACTCATCAAAACTCTGGCATTCATTCAATGTACATAAATAAACTTTCAACTTCGCAATTCTAATCGATTGTACGTGACCGTGATTCTGACCTAAGTTGCGATAAAATAAATTTCTCAGCAAATTTTTCCTAGCTCGTTCGAACAGCGAGTTTAAAATCGCTCGTATAGAGATACATGCTTGAGAGTGAATAAAAATTAATTTTTATTATAAGTATGACAGTATTACAAATATATAATTTCCAACATTTGTACAGAATTTAACTAGTACGTTGCGTATTCAATTAGTTATTCAATTTGTCGGAAGGCGTTGTGTATACTTTCACTTGTGAGGCTCGCAATAGTTTCTTTCTTTCTTTCTTTCTTTTCTTTTTTTTTTTTTTTTTTTTTTTTTAATCAAATTAAATTCACGGGAAGAGTTTTTTACACATGAAATGCAAATCAAGCATCCGGTATGACTTTTTGAATTACAATTACTTCGAATTATTACGTATATGTGTTAATTTACACTTGAAGAATATTTTGCACACGCGTATACACCCAGCGCATAGCTCGTGCGAGTCTTATTGTTCAATTGTTTTATTTTTTATCCTTGTTATGTAATTTTATTTTGTTATTCTTTCGCGCTTGAGGGGATTTTCCCAGAGCGCAATGCAAATTGCGTTATCTGATGTAAAATCTCTGATCTCAGTCAAAAATTGTTGAATGTGATTTCTTTCACCGGCTGTAACAGTGACCGGAAAGAGCCAAGTTCCCTCCGTATATTTCTTCGGTACTCAGAAGCCTCTGAGTTATACGGTTTACCCTACTTTTCCCTATCGCGTATAATTCGCGCAATGACTTCGCGTTCCGGAGCGATATTGACACGTTTCTCTCTCTTGGCAATGGCAAATTGTCTCACGCGTATTGATTGTGACTGCGCATAACTCGGTAGCTTAGTCACCACGGAGAAGAAAATTTTTGCTCCCCTGTGACTCGCAAATAAATCGCGAGAGACGAAATTCTCTTTTATCATTCCCGTGTTCACGGGAGAGTCACAAAGAAAAGCAGGTTGAGTAGAAAGCAAGTTCCAGAACAAAACCAATCCATAAAGAGTCCGCGGTTCATTAAGCGAATTAACTTTGAGAGAAATAGTTCTTGTCTTGCATCTTGCTGCTCAATATAGTGAAAACGTAGCATTATGAAAAACTATCTGCACGTACACCTCAAAAAGGTCGAAAACAGCACGTTTCTTCGGGAGAGACCATAATAATAGCTGATTAATATCTTGAAAGAAGAGTGTATGTCTGGGGAAACTTTACTGTTTGTTTTTAACCGTTTAACATACTTCAATTTAGATCATAATCGCACGTTGTAAATTAATAATTATTATAATAAAAACTAAATTAATCAAATTTATTATTAATAGTAAATTAATAGTCATTAAACGATTATTAGTAAATTATTAATATAGTAAATTAATAATTATTGTAATAAAATCTTGAAAAGAAAATCTCGAGATTTTGTTATATTTTATTGTATAATTTGTCAAGTATTTAAGATTTTATGTTAACATCTATTAAATTGTTTTGGATTTGGTCTGCTATTAATTTTATTAGTTTTTATTTTATTAAAATTGTGTATTTGCTTCTGAGCACATTTCCAAGAAGTTATCTCATTAAAAACATTTTGTATATTGCGGTCACGCTTTTGATCGGTATCAACGCACCGTTTGAGAAGTATCGGAAGATCGCGCGATGATAATCCATCAAAAGTTGTTGAGAAGTTTCTCAAATACTGCTGTGACAAAGCTGACAATAAGCGCAAACGATATTATGTTTTTAATGACAATACTTAGAAGCAACACTTTACTTTTTTATTGCACAAAAACAACTTTATTACACTAAGTCGTAGAAAACTCACATATTCGCATTTTCAGATCGTCAAATATATCGGACACCTACAAATTTTTATGTTTGCACTTTGCAAAAAATTATCTCGAAAAGATATCACACATTCAGAAAATGTGTAAAACCACATTATCTGAATTATTTTCTCTTGACCTTTTCGATCGTTTCAAAGTCGCGATCTTCTCTTTATGACTTGAAACAAGAACCCAAGAAATGCTCCGACGTTCAAGGCCGTTGCACAAATGATTTCCTGTCTGGTAAGAACGAGTGAGTTACTTTTTCGCAATAAGTCGGTCTCACTCTGAAAAGAATCAATATCATTGTTACCGCATTGTATTATCGATCCGTTTGTCAAGTAACTTTACGTATTTCTGTCATTAAAATGTAACAACACGGTCATTTACATGCACACGCTCGATACAATCTCGTATACATATATTAACATATATATATATGTATATATATACCGTCACCGGCCGTTCTTTGGCACGAGTTAAGTATAGAACTAAAAAACAACATGGACAGTATACTGTGTGTGTGTGTGTGTGTGTGGGTATGTTCTTGCTTACGAAACAGGGCGAAGGGTACTCTCCAAGGTGGAAAACAAAAACGTTCGAATCTCCTCACTCCGAAGAAATTTTACGACCTCCTACAAAGGAGGTCGAGAAAGAGAGAGACTGTCGTGAATTCGGACTTATCGGCATTTTACTTGAGGCAAATATAATGATACGCGCGGCACATCTTTTCTTAGCGTAACTTCGCGAAACGTCGTTTTCTTGCCGACGAGCATGAGTCGTAAACATCGTAAAAGTTTTTTTTTTCGTAAAAGCCGGCGTTTCTGCGGAAAACCAGGCACTTCTTCGTGAAATATATCCGGCAACAATTAGTTTTTTTTTTCGCAAATCTCCGTCGTTTCACCCGTCGTTTTATTCTCTGCTCCACTGATTTCTTACAATTTCCCATAAACGAGTTTAACGATGCGGTCGTATTGTTCGGATTGGCTTTTCACCGAGATCTTTCACGAGAGAAATAATGTCAAATATCGTATAATCATTTGTTTGTACAGATCGCACACGACTCTCTTAAGTATTCAAACTGTATAAGAGAAACAAGGCCAGTAAGAGCCAAACGCCGAATACGTACGAGCAAAATGTTTTTCAGTTTTTTTTTTTAATTAATCCTTCGCGGATTGACACTCTCCTAAAGAAAAAAAATCGAGCCAGAAAAATAATATTCAATGAACAAGTCACAAGTCTATATAAGTTCTTTTGTGAATTACAAAAAACTGTCATGTAGTTTGATCTTAATCCTTGGCCTGTTTCAGATACAAACCGACGAGGTTGTGGGGTTTCAGCGGTCATGTACAGACCATTGTTCACAGCGTGATAGGACGTGTTCGATGCCCCTGGCCCATCGGTGAACGCGTGTACATCCGTCTTGCAGATGAGACGACTCTTACGTACGATCTTTATCAACCGTTAACCAACGGACACGAAGGTATTTATCGCTTCTTGGATATCTTCTTTTAAATGTCTAGCGACACGTTCTGTTGTTCATTTAACGAGAAAACACAAAGTTTTTACATAATTTATCTTTAATGATGTCTTAAGAAAGTTTCGAAGGATGTTGGACGAAAAACTGACCCAAAGATTCAGAATTATTTACAAGGTTCGCAAATATATTTATTCTCACGGTTAAAAAACGAGATCAATACAGAGACAGAAAGAAAATAAGAAATGTAAAAACTAAGAAAGCACAGAAACCGATCATCAAAAAAACTCGATCGTTTCAGATGACATAACGATAGCCATCTGTCCCGGCATTGGCAACAGCTCGGAGAGCGTTTACATCAGAACGTTCGTGCACTTCGTGCAGTGCCACGGCTATCGATGCGCAGTACTTAATCACGTCGGAGCTCTTTCTAGTGTCAAGATCACGGCTCCAAGAATATTTTCTTACGGTACGTGTCAACGCGATCGATAAAACACGACTGTCCCGGTGTCCGCGATCGATCGAAGAAAGCGGCGAATAATAACAGTGCTTCGTACAAGCAAATGTGTTTGTATTCTGGGAACATTAGGTGTGCGCTGTATTAGTTACGGAAACAATCGATATACGTAAAGTTATGTCGCACATTTACTGGGTTGCTCTATGACATAGAGTCTGTTTCGAACATGGTTTGTGAAAAAAATTGCGTTCTTTGTTTAAATTTATATATTTTTTGAATAAATATAATTTTATACATCTCTATTCGAGACATATATATTTTTTTTTTACTTCTACTTGAAAATGTACAATTTTCAAAAAATGCTAATTTAGCGTTTTTCATATATATTTGTAGGACACACGGACGATTATAGCACAATGTTACAAAATTTAGTGGAAAAACATCCTAACACCAAGATAGTTTGTATCGGATACAGTCTTGGCGGCAATTTAGTGACGAAATATCTGGCGGAACGTGGTTCTAACAAAATGCCTAACATTATAGGAGGAATTTCAATTTGTCAAGGATACAACGCCATCGAGTGAGTGAAGGAAGCTTCTTTTATCTTTGTTATTAAATAAAATCTTTCTTATTAAATTTAATTAATAAGAAGAACGCTATTGCTTCAATAAATATACGTTTTGTTTTGCAGAGGAACCAAGATTCTGTTAGACTGGCAGAACTTCAGACGCTTTTACCTCTATGTGATGACAGAATCGATGAAGAATCTGATACTCAAGCACAAAAACATGCTTTTGTCCGAGGAGATGAAACAAAGGTGGAATCTGAACGAACGTGATATAATCTCCGCTGCGACGTTGCCCGAATTGGACGAAGCGTACACGAGAAAGGTACAAGTTTAATTCTTTCACGCACACACTGTGTGTTCTACAATTAGATAATATAATTTATTACAGTTTATTTATTTATTTTTTTTTTTCAGGTACACAACTTTAGATCTGTGCAAGAGATGTACACTTGGAGCAGTTGTGCTTTCTATCTCGACAATCTCACAACGCCGATGGTATTTATCAACGCGTTAGACGATCCTATAGTACCGGAAGTATTATTAAATCCAATCAAGGAGCACGCAGGTAAGTTTGCACTTGAACAACAAGCAATACGTTAAAGAGACAAACAGTAAAGAGAAAAATTGTACTGATGTAAAGAGATATTCCTATTTCAGCAAGTCATCCAAACACTTTATACATAGAATTAGCTCATGGAGGTCATCTGGGTTTCTACGAGGGAGGTCTTTTGTATCCAAATCCCATAACATGGTTGGACAAAACTCTTGTATCTCTCGTGGGATCTTTGGCATTAGCGCACGCGGACAAAGCTCTCAAAGTCTCGTAACTCAATTTCAGCTCGGTTAATGTAATTTTATCATTGTCACAGATGATCGATTTATAATAACGTTTACACAGATTGTGATTTTGTTGTGTCTGTCAGCACTGCATTCAACTCATAATGGTGATAGACGCATCGCAAATAGAAAAACAGGACACAGATTGTAGTCCAGACAAACTGTCTGGTGCACATACATTAGTAATTTCATGAAATAAAGCGCTCGTCTAGTACGTGAGGATAGATGCAGAAATCTCCTAGTCGAGGAGATATCAGTTTTTGTAACGATCCTTTTTCTACGGGTTAGATTTAGGATCTAAGTTTGCCAGTATCGAATTGTGTATAGAAGATGAATTCAAGGTGCGTGCGGAAAAACGGTCTCTGGCCGTTCGCTTGCTGTCAAAATGGCCTTTTCCTTCGAGTTAGCATTTGTTTTCAGTAACACAGAAAAATAAATGAAGGCGCACGATTTTGAGGTAACAAACATTTGCTCATTTATAGTATTTTTTTGGAACATCAATTACAAATTGACTCTTTATAACGTAAATGTATTGGTACATATTTGTACTGTTTATCTTATATACGATTTTTAGCGCAAGTAAAATTTAGCTTAATTTTGCAAGACAAAGAATAGAAAAAAAAAATGAGAAAGGAATTAAATGAATTTTTAATATTTCACTGAATGTTAACGCTTCTTTCTCAGGGATTTTCCATAGGACGACGATTCGCTGAGACCTTTTAGTGGTCGCTAATGTAAAAGATTATTGAAGGTGCTCACTGCGCGATTAATTATTACAATATAGGCATTTAATGTATAATGTGAAGTATCTTGTATACTTTCACATCGAGAAGAAACTCGTATTTATGTATAACGTATGTGTAATAATAGACAAATGTACTGACACTTAAAACATATTTATGAATGGAATTTGGTTACATTTTAAAATGATTGGAAATTAATTAATATATAAATTCAAAATTCGGAATACATGGATATACATATATATTGTATATAAAACAAGATTTTTGCAAACTAATGTCTATCAAATCAAATTCAGTGTTTTATAAATGTAAATATACACCAAATTTTGTAAATGCGACTTTTCTAATTGTAATTATGTAGCAAATTGCAAAACACACGTGTAGATTTTGCTACTGGTGGTTTAACGGAGTTAATAAGTTTGTATGTGTGTATATGAGGATATAGTTGTATAATATTTGAAATTTGTTTATATATCGTGATTAATGTATTTTCGTAAATATATTTTCGTAAGTATAAATTTTTGTGTAATATACAAATCTATAATAATAATAATTTTGCTTTAATGGAGCTGAAAGCTTTTAACGGATTACTATTACACAGTGTTACATTAGATTGTACATACAACATATCGTATATTTGATGTCGCGATCAGTAATGTATTTCTTGATCCACGAATTCATAATGATAAAATTAATGCGCAATGTTTCCTCACGTTAAACAATATATTTTTGAAAGGTTTATAAATAATTTACAACACACACAACGCAATTGTATTGATCACGACTGAATGTTGATTTCCTACTCTAGCATTTTTTTTTTTTATGATACTGAATTTTTTGCAAATCACTAGTTTAATATTAACGGCTATCTACTCATCTAATCACAGTCTCTTCGTTTAAAGAGAGTTAAAGTTAACTATATTTTTACTTGAACTTTTTATACGACGATGTCTTTACACGTAGTCGAGTTGTAACTTTGTGAATCTAGAATGAAGACTAATTTGTACGATGATTTATGTCGGCAAAAATTTTTACAGAATATCAAGAGTAATGTGCTGCAAGCATTTATATCCAAAACGGTTAATCGAAACGTAATTCGAGTGGGTTCGCTTTCTAATCGCGTGAAAGCAATCGTTGTAAATGTGTCAGAATTAAATTCTAAAATACGGTCGTAAAATGTCTTTGCGCCTGTGTGAAGTTGAAACAATAAAAGGCATCAATTAAATGTGCAACTTTTATGTGCAGAGGCATTTTATACGCCCTAGTCTGTGTGCGAACACGTTGGATTTATATGACTCACACAAAAGACAATAAAACCTAAAATCATCTCATACAAAGTGATATAGCTTTTTGTTAGGTAGAAATTTTGTGTTATAAACATTTCTTTTTATTTCTTATTTATCTTTTTCTTTTTTTCGTTATTTTTACAAAATAGAGACTTTATTGCATTTGATATGTAAGCACTATATTTTTCACTGTATTGCACTATAATTGTCCACATTGATTGGACAATAAGTGCATATATCGATGATATCGACAATACAACTTTATTCAAACACCACATTATTATTGTGTGAAACCAGATGTATGTATTTTATTAGAGATACGATAGAATTCACTGGATATACATTTTAAATAAAAAGTGTCATGGATGTAAAAGCTCGCAAAAGTGCAAAATTGTTATTTTCTGAATTCTCTACAGATTTTGAAATAACGCCGAGAACATTCCCTTTGTACTTACCAAAACTATGTGCAATTGAAAAGAAGTGAAAGTCATTTTCTAAATCTGAATCAATGCGACTATTCCGTGTGTGAGTTTATTATTGTTATATATTTAATAGAGCCAGATGAAGCCGGATACTAACATGCGTAATGTAAGATATTTTATAACGTGTAATGCACATAAACGTTTTTTCAATGATAGGTTTGATTTCAATCTTTGTGTGTGTACATATGATGTGTTGCTAATGTTATACATAAATAAAATATATACGCGAGTATTTATTAAATTATGTCGCACTTGTATCATATGTGTATGTGTGTGTGTGTGTGTGTGAGCGCGCGCGGGAGTTTTTTGTTAAATTATTGAACTTTGTATGGGGGAAAAAAAAAAAACTGTTACCATATTCTAGCCTCTTGCGTAATTCTTATCACTGTCAACAATTAAGTCATCAGAAATTACTAACATATGAATCAAACATCATCACGTACTTATCGAAAAGGAATATTATGATGTATGTAGTTATAAAAAGCTTTACTTGCAGAATAAATATTAATGATGAGTGTTTTACTGTTACAAGTATCATCATATGCGGCACTTGAATTCAGTTGTCAGCCGAAGAAATTATTTAATTTGTGTCTTTTTTTTCATCAAAATTTTCCTAGCGTGGTTGTAATAAGTAATGACGTTTAATAACAAGACAACATTTTGCTGAGCGAAAAAATAGATAAATAATCTTAAACATATTTTGTCATACTTGTTTTGCGATATTATATGTGTATATTTGTTTTTAAATCATGTATTGATTATATATATATATATTTTTTTTTTTTTGCGATATTTTTATTTTAGTTGAATTGTAAATCGGTCTGGTTATGACATTGAAACTTTTGACATTGGAAGTCATTGCTTACGCCTTACGCTATGATAAATGTTGCGCGACGTTATGTGTAAAAATTATACTATTTTATATAATGAATGAATATATATGTCGTGAGTGAAGACAGTTTTTTTTTGTCGTTATTTCCACACATCCTTGTGCGCTTGCGATCATTTATGTAAGTATTTTATGCATTAATTTTTTGTAGCAGTTTACATAGTATGTTAATAACAACGAGGCGTTGTGCGTCTTAATTTGCAATATCAACGATAATTTTTGCATTTCTACGTTGCTACATATTTGTCGCATTAATTATTGATACTACGTTTTTCAGATTTTGTTTTGCGACTTAAAAACTAGTGAGCCAAAGCAAATCTTGTTTGACAGCGGAGCGCAAAAAGTTGTATATAATTTATGACGAGAACAAGTCAATAGCTTGTCACAGAAAGAGCTCAGCTATGTTTCATTTTTATGTATGACTGATTCTTTTTCCGATTTGTAAACGATACAAATGTTTAAGTTAAATAAAAGTAATATAGTGTAACATTTTAATAGGCACTTTACACATGTTAAAGTGTGTGTTTTATGTGTGTGTAATAAGATAAAAATTTAATATAAAATGAATCAACAGGTTGTTGCACGTGTGCGTCTCTTATTTGCACTTATTTCATAACTTTAATTACATAAAACGATCGAGTATGATTAACGAATAAAGAATGCAAACTCGAAAAAAACGGATGAGTGAAAAAATTTCGTTTTGTCATTTAAATTTCTAAAATTTATTAATTTTATCTAGAAAGTTCTCTCGCTTTTTTCACGTGCAAACTGCTTATTTTTTAAACTAATTTACATATGTAACAACGAAGAAAGTGTTTTTCTCAAGGAAACAAGATTTTTAAAACAAGGGATGTGCAGGAATTGCACATCCCTTGTTTTAAAGTGCGTGACAACCGTCACGGCAACGTATCAACGGAATGTGAATATTAATTATCAGACGATTTAATTTACAAAGAGAGAAAAACAAATCACTAAATAACGAACATACGAATTTCTGTTGTGACGACATGAGTGATACATGGGAAAGATCATTAAACGTTGTTCATCTCGCTATGGCGACACAGATGTTTATATCCAACAAACGTATATAATATTCATCCCTCCTCATACACGTGCTTTCACGCGCTTATAATGTTGAACCTGACGATGATAATCAGTCAGTAAAGATTGAGCACCAGGCACGTTCACTTTGACGTCCTATTATCAGAACGAGGCCAACAGATACGACAGTAGACTCATTTTGTTCTTGTTTTTTTTGTTAGTTTTAAACTGGACGATATAGATTGTTAGACAATATACCAACAGATACGACAGTAGACTCATTTTGTTCTTGTTTTTTTTGTTAGTTTTAAACTGGACGATATAGATTGTTAGACAATATACCAACAGATACGACAGTAGACTCATTTTGTTCTTGTTTTTTTTTTTTATTTTTAAACTCGACAATAAAGATTATTAGACAATTATACACATTTTTCGACTATGGCCGGATCTGTGGTTCAAGCAGCATTTGTCGTCGTTCTAACTATCCTGATCTGCAGCGAAACGATTCTCGCGTATCCTTGGCAAAAAGCGTACGTATTACGACAGGCAAATTACTGGTGGACACGGCAGTACCTGCTAATGGGAGAGAGACAGGAGGCGTTCGGTGGCAATTTGATACTGAATCCCATCGAGACCAAAGCCAATGAGATTCTGATGACCGCAAAAACTCAGGAGATCAACGACGGTTTGACGTTTTCATCTTTTTACTGTTTCACTAACCGAAAACGCTCAAGACTCTCGCGATCCTTTCGCGCGAACATGTCTGTTCCCCCGCGCGATAATAATAAGAGATTTGTAATTTTACTGTGTTTATAAATTTTACATTACACATATGTGAAAAAACAATTAGATTTTCAAACTACAAGTCGTCACTCCCTACGTATAATTACATAAGTGTTACATACGGGATTTTCAGTTTATTGCATAGTGACACTTANAAAGTCATGTTCTTTATGGTCACGAAATATTTAAAACAAATATTCATAAGTAAAGTAAAAATTTAAAACCGAAAGATCCCTTAACTAGGGAAACTATATGAAGCTTCAAACTTTCAAACTGCTCTCCTCTAAAATTTGCGTTTTGGAGTTACGGNATTATACGTAGGGAGTGACGAAGTATACATTTTCTAGTTCTTTTTGAATGTTATAAATCGTTCGAGACAAAACTGTGTTTTGGTGAACTAAAAAAAGCAAAAATTTGTGTATTTACGCGGGAGAAAAAGTTTTGCTCTTATATAACCGGCAAAAAAAAATTTGCTTTTCTCTACTGAAGTCTTTGTCTTTCGTCAACAAAACGTTTTGCTGACAAAACAAAAAAATAACGAGTTTTTCTTGCCGGTCATATAATAACTAACTCTTCTTTTGCTATTTGTTGACGCGCCTTCGATTTACATCAAAATTACTTTGTTGTTTGCCGGTTGAACGACAGGACAAGAAATGATCCGAACTCGCGGAGATCAAGCACGACAATTAGTTCGCGACCGACACACACGTTTTTAGCTCGTGATATTTCAACGCTATGCGATATCAGGCTATTTTTTTTTTTTTTTGTTATGAATAATTGAAATTATTGTCTTCGAGATGTTATTATTAAAGAAACGGGTTCAACAAGAACGTACTCGAGAAGTCGAGATGAGAAAATATCCAATGAGAATCTAAAAAAAAATGTAACTTCCTCGAACACACATTATTCTAGCAAACATTTTTTTCTTTTTGTCTGTGTTCTTTTTAGACTTGTAATTGTATTTAAACAATTTCTAGTTTCTTCTTTTCTAACAAAAGTGTAACACACACGCACGCTACACCGACGAGTATTTTATGAGGTCATAATTTCTTTATTGTTTTTTTTCATGTGCGACTATTTGCGTAGTTCTCGGCGCGAGAGAATTCTCGTGTCATTAAAAAAACATTATTTCAGGTAGACTTTAGAGTGAGTTGTGATTGTTATTTTAATTCCAAGTCACGCTCGTTTCCGGTTTTCTGAGTGAGTTCTTGAAAAATGAGTGTTTCCAAAATCGCTTCTTATCGCGATTAGACACAAGACTTTGAAGTGACGTGGTAATTCAACAATGTGTTATCATAAATACACATGCAATGTTGCGTCTTGCAACACAAGTAACTTATCAAAAAACTGATCAAAAAAGAAACGCAGTATTCAAAATTTGTTAATTTGCCTCTCTGTAATAAAAAAAAATCAGAAGACACATGACAAAAAGTACATTCTGCCGTGAGATCACGCGTTTTCTTATCAGCCACTTGCGAGACAATTTTTTGCCATTTTTATCTTGATAAAACGTTATCCTTCCACGTTTTCCAGGTTTTGTCAAGGGTAACTCCTTCTTACCGTCGCGTAACTTCCTAGAAGTGATGCCAGAAATCGAGAAATCCGAGGTCTTCAAGATCTTGCGCGATCTTCCCAAGGGTGGTGTTCTCCACGTCCACGACTCCGCAATGGTGTCCCTCGACTACAAATTGAACAACTTGACTTATCGCGATAATTTGTACGTGTGCGATGAGAACGACACGTTCGTGATGAAATTTTTCGACACGCCCAATGATCAATGCAATTGGCAATTACTGAGGGATTTGCGTCAGAATCCGGATCGGGCGAAAGCGATCAACGAGAAGATCGCGCAAAAGATGACGATGGTCGTGAAGAATCCGAACAGCGTTTACGAAACGGTCAACGATGCTTGGCGTAAATTCGACAGCATATTCGCGTTTATGAACACGTGGATGGCCTACCCACCTGTCCGCAAGGATCACTTTTATCAAGGTCTGCAGGAGTTGTACGACGACAACGTGATGTACGTAGAGGTGCGATCAGGTCTGTCGAAGATGTACGATCTTAATGGCACAATGTACGGACCGGTGGAAGTCGCGAGACTTTACAAAGAAGTCAGCGACAGGCAAGGCGCTCTTTTATATACATCTCTTTTTTAAATATTATTTCTACATTAATTTTAATGTTTTTTATTTTTTTTTTTTTATTTGCAAAGTACATTATTTTCATTAAAAAATATTAATTAAAGAAACGATGCTTTTTGCGTTAAATATACACATTGAAATGAACCAAAAAAATCATATTTCTATCGATATTTTTGTTGTGATATGTTCGTGTAGATTTTTAAATGACCATCCTGACTTCATTGGCGTTAAGATCATATATGCGCCATCCCGCTTTGTCGAAAATGTTGACAATTATCTGAAGACAATGATAGAGTTGAATAAACTCTATCCGGATTTCGTGGTTGGTTTCGATCTGGTCGGTCAGGAAGACAAGGGAACTCCTCTCATTAAGTTCGTCGACACATTGAACACCGTCAATCCGGACATTCAGTTCTTTTTCCACGCCGGAGAGACCAACTGGGACGGCGAACCCACTGACATGAATATTATCGACGCCGTGTTGCTCAGAAGCAAACGTATCGGTCACGGGTAAGTTCAAACGCAAGAAGTTTTTTTCATTTAATTCGAAAATTTGGTTTTTTTTTTTAATTACACACACACACACACACTAAAAAACATTTTATTCAAATTAAAAACCAAATTTGAAAATTCGAATTAAACGAGAAATAATTATTAAATTAAAAGACAAATTTTTCAATGGCTCAGATATAAAACAAATAATGTCACGAGAGACTTAAAATCATCCATCACTTCTTAGATACGCATTGACGAAGCATCCGTATTTCTGGGACTTAATGAATCAGTTCGAAATCGCGGTAGAAGTCTGTCCTATTTCGAATCAGGTCCTCGCGCTCGTGAAGGACTTGCGAAATCATCCTGCAACGACTCTGTTCGCGACGGGATCGCCCGTCGTAATTTCCAACGACGATCCTGGCCTCTGGAACGCTAAAGGACTGACTCACGACTTCTACGAGGCTTTTATGGCACTCATGAGCGCCAGCTCGGATCTTGGAAGTCTTAAACAATTGGCAATGAACTCGTTTATTTACAGCAGTTTAAACAATACAGAAAAACAAAACGCGCTGACGCGATGGCAGGACAAATGGGATGCCTTCGTGGACAAGCTGGCTCAGTCTAATAACGGTGAAATGTAGAAGTTTTGTTCTCACAGAACAAAAATTCACAGAAACTTCACGAAATGCGATAAAATGGATATCTAACAAACCTAGCTGTAAACATCTAATGCATTTCTAATAAGATTTTTGTTCTGTCTGGAGCTAATCTCTAACATGCGCGGACTCTGCGTTGATAACGCGATACGACTACTAACTTGCACGTGTAAACACAAAAGATAATCGCGATTAAATAAAACAAAACGACATAATCTGAGAACTCGAAAATTTTAGAAATTCCGATGTTCTGTACGATTGCACCATTTGTAAACGGTCTATCGATCAAAATCATTGGAATTTTTCACACTGCGCGTTCTTAATTCATTCTGTTGAATGTTTTATCAGAGAACTGTATCATAAATTATGTACATACTTAATTTCCGCTACTTTGTTCTGTGTGTTTTTTTTTCTATGGACGCATTTCGCGTGAATAATTTTAACTCCTTTGAAAAATGACACGTTTATTGAAAACTACATGTTCATCAAACATTCTTCAAACAGATTATTCTATATTGCTATTATGTTTGTTTTTGTACAATAAAGCACGTACCGTTTACAAAATAAATGTTAGTCTTTTCATCGTGCGACAGCTGTCTTACTTGGATGCCTGCTGCAGAAGATTGTAAGCTGAATAAGAAGCTCTGCAAATCTAGAATTATATATCATGATATCATAGTGTTACATCATCGCAGAAAGTGTGTTTATTTATGACCGATCTAAGCAGTTAGTTTTTTTTATTACGCTGCGCGAACAATCGCTGCGCGCTGATAACAATTTTTTTTAAACACACTCTCCAATTTTGCGAAACACGCGCATATAATGTGAAGATTTTATTATCTTTCCGATTTGGTTCTACTTACCCAAGTAAAAGTATCAAGAGATAACGCAAATATCCCGTGATAAGAAAACGCTATGCCTTTTTGACTGTTTAACATAACTAGCATCAGCAATTTACGCTCTCGCGGCGTTGTCATTAACCAGTCGCTGGAATAAATAGCAGTCGCGATGCTCTTGCTCTGAAAATAAATTGGAATGAAAATTTTTATTAGCAGCTACAGAATAAAATCTCTTATATTTCGATTATTTATTTAATTCCCCTCACCTTTAATTCAAGCTCGTTTCCGTACCAGCAGTAGTAGAACAACTGAAGCATTATACCGCTCAGATACAAAAGCATAGAAAAAAAGCCCGTACTGAGCAGTTTCTTCTGCAAAAAAAAAAAAAACGAAAAAACTCACGTTACATCAATGCAACATTTGAATATATTGGGCGAGATGACCTCCCGACAAAACCTACCTTCGATATCAAAAAGATACTGGTGCACACGATAAACATACCAGAGAAGAAGAAGATCATGACCGTCCAGATGAAGAGCGCGCGCGTTTTCTTAACCAGAATGTTCACGAGAAGATGATGACGGACGCATTCCTCGATCGAAGCGGTCGCGGTCTTCGTGCGTCCGGACGACATGTCTCTTTGCAAATTTCGCGTTAATCGACAGCACATCAATTCGATCTGCGCACAGGCGTGAATTGCGAAGCCGTAAACGAGAGAATCGAAGGAAACGTTGAGCATTATCGCGTAAAACATGGAGACCAGTTGTTGCAAGCACGTAAACAGATAGGGAAGTAGATCCGACACGGAGTACGGGATGTACGATTTTACTGGTAATACACGTTCGCCCTTGGTCAGTAGTGTCATAGCTGTAGTAACGAGGAAGCTCAGCAGGGCTGTGTAAGATAGCGCCAGGAAGGAGATAGTGCTCCGTTTAGCTGTTTTAGAATTAATTCGATTGGTTTTTTTTTAGAATTAATTTGATTGGATTTGAAGTAAAAATTCTAAACATTCGATTTTTCAAAATAAGAGAGACTTATTTTTAAGTTTCAATTATATCATTTTGTTTTGTTTCTAATTATGATTTATATATTGTGTTAATTAGAAAAAATTGCTTGACACTATTAAAACTTATATATAAAATATAATGTATATATAATATTTTATATTTTATCTTATTCTATCTTATGTTACGTTGACATTTTTATGTTCATATCCTATGATAATGCAGTTACGTATTTCGATACTCCAATGTATTTAATCCTTATCATTCAATCACCTTTTCGATTGTGTTCTTCCAATATCATCTTTTCCATAGAATTTCTCGGCTGGCACATTTGTTCGCGCAAACAATCCAACAGCGTGGACAGTTCGTTTTTCCGTAGCAAAAAATTTGCGTACTTTATGCTCAGCGTCACAAAAGTCAATCCCAGAAAGAGACCTTCCGTTAAATCGAGAATGCGATCGCGCGTGCGAATTATCTCTACGACATCAAGTATCGTAAATTCGTATATCAAGAACACGATCGCGTACCTACGCAAGCATCGCTGCTTTAGATAAAATTTAAAAAATGTTAGAATTGATAAAAGAGAGAAAATATATATTTTACACATATTTTTCTTACGAAAATTTTTTTGGCAAGATAAAATCTGTATAAAATCGAATACTGGATTTTATCGGATTTTATTTGTCTACATTATACACACTTGTAACAGAAACGCGAGAGTTTGATGCACGCGTTATCGTCGATCCGCTCTCTCCACGCGCCGCAAAATTGCAAAACTTTGAAGTTCACCGGCAGAATGTCCATAACTCTTGTATTATCATCGAATGATATCGTCTGTGCTTTACTCTTGCCCCATTTCAATTGTCGTAAAATCTTCTCTACTACGTCTTTTGATAAATGAAAGAAACATTTTTTTTCCGTCGACGTAACAATCTCGCGAACTGCATTAATATTAACACGACGTGCGCGACGTCGAATGTGTGTTTGAAATTTTAATATACGATCGAACAACCGGAAAGTTTTCCGTGAATGTTTTTTCTACCTTGAAAAAAAAAAATGCGCAACATATATTTTTTGACATAATAATACAAGGCTGTAATAAATGACCCGTCAGCACACGCGGTCGCAAAGGAAACTGTACTCGATAAGACGCAACGCCCACGCGGTTCGATATAAATATTAAATATCGTGACGTTCACGCAGGCTGTACTTTGCAAAATAAACGAGATATAAAAAAAAAAAATAAGAAATAAGGGGAACAGTCTGAAGATTTTATTTTACTAGACTTTTGTGTAATCGCCTAAAATACAGACGTAAAAAAATAGAATGCAATTCTATACAACGCGTACATACACGAATGTGGTAATTCTTTTTTTTTTTTTTTTAGTTGAGATTTGGTTACATCGACGTTTGTTGCAGTACGTTAAAGGTCGAGTAGGACATTTTCAAGATCTGCAAAAAAAGAATTATTACCTGTAAATGTTTGTTGTTATATTATCGCTAGTGAATGAGAAATAATGCACATTGTGTGATAAATTTACCCAAGTAAAAGTGTCAAGAGCCAAACTAGAAATGCCGTAATAAGATAATTTCAGTCCTCTTTGGCTGATGATCATCATGAGAAGCAGACTTCGACGATTGTGCGTCGTGGCAATCGTCCAGTTGCTCGAATAAATAGAGTCGCTGATGCTTTTGCTCTGTAGGACGAAAGAATTTCTCTCATCATTTTTACAGATTATTACAGGTAGATGTGCTTTTTTTCAACTTTCAAAAACAATCTATAGTTCACCATACTAGAATATTGTAGCAAAATTATAGAAATAATAACTTATGGTTTTTTTTGTTATGTTTATGTCGAGCTTGAAAACCGAGGCTCTCAAGTCCGATCTTTTGGTTATCACCTTCAGTTGCAACTCGTTTCCGTACCAGCAGTAAAAGAACACTTGAAACAGCATGCTGCCGAGGTACAACAGCAGCGAGAGAAATCCAATGCTGAACAGTCTCTTCTGCGAAAGAAACTCAGTTCAGTACGTTGCGATATTAGACATTCAGTACGTACGCGAACTTCGCGATTTAGATATTCAGCGGTATTCGACGCATTTTTTTTTGCTATCTGCGTGTCCCGTGTATAAAACAAAAAAAAAAGGTAACTTCGTTAGAGGTGGCTGGATCACTTGAAAATGAATATTTGCGAAGTGTTATTATCCGCATATATGTAATTAAATATATCAAATATATATTTTATTCTATATTTGTGTTAGGCGGAAGCGTCTCTTTGATTATTCAGTAGAACGGGTCAAAAATAACTCAGCCACAGTCCTCCGAAAGATACGTTCTTCGTAGGTTTGAAATTAAATAACGACTGGCATTAATTGAAATCATAATTATTGCAAAATTCTTTACAAATTAAATCGCGTGAAATTAAACAAAGCGTGATCGTAAAGAAATTGTTTTTAATTTTCACGCGACCTTGGACATTTGGAAAATACTGGTGCACAGGGTGACCATACTGAAAACGAACAAAATCGTCACAGTCCACACAAACAACGACTGTAGCCTGCGCACGAGCTCGTGCACATGTAAGTGATGCCTCACGCACTGGTCGATCATCGTGTTTTTTTTGTCAATCGGACATCGCTTCATGTCGGATGGATTCTTGAAGATCTCCGACAGACGGTGGCACAGCAGCTCGATCTGGCCGCAGACGTGAAGGGTGAAACCGTAGACGAGAGAGTCAAACGAGACGTTGAGCAAAACACCGTAAAATATGGCACCCACGTGCTGAAGATAGGTCGCCAAATACGTGTAAAAGCTGGATATGGAGTACGGCAGATACGTCTTGAACGGCAAAGGTCTGTCGGTATCCTGAGGTCCCACGATAGGGGCAAGCACAAGAGCTACGCAGGTGGCTTGCGAGATGCTCATGAAAAGTTTAACACACCACTTGGCTGCGACACACGCGTACATAGATATTTCCACATTTGTAAAAAAAAAAATCTTATAAGAGAAAGAAAAAAAAAGAGGAAAAATATTCAAGTTTTAAAAAATCGGCACAAAAAAATAATGAAATTATATTCTAAGGTTGTGAAATAGCGTTGAATTGTCATGTAAAACATAAAAACTTTTTCCGTGTGTGTGCGAGCGTTTAATTTTATTATTTTTTGATACATTTTTTTTCAACGTAAAATTGATCGAAGTTTATTCACTTATTATCGACTAAATTGCTAAAAGTTTTAAGACTGAAAAAACTGAAAGAAAACAATATGCTTACGAAGCTTTAAGACAGATTAATAATCTAATTTTAACGCTACAACATTCTGTTTGATATGCGATATGAATCGTTAGAATAACAAGAGGAGTACCTTTGCGGTCGTACTTAGTCAGAATCGATCTTTCCTCGTGATTCTTCGGTTGACACGTTTCGCTGCGAAGACAATCCAGCAACACGGACACTTCGTCTCGTCTCGCTAAGAAATTTCCGTATTTAATGCACAAAGCTACATAAGTTAGAGTTAGGAACAGTCCTTCGGTTATATCCTCGATGTGGTCACGTGTCCGTATAAGCTCGATCACTTCCGATATCGTGAACTCGTATATCAGAATTACTATCGCGTACCTGTGCGCATAAAAAACGTTTTTTATTTCTTGATAGATGTCATTTTTCGAAATCGATTTCGAGATAAACAATTTCGCTTTTTTTCGAAATTGCAACAAAGACGAAAAACTTTCGGTCGGAATCGATTTCGAACGAGTATATATACGTACGCGACAGTTACCCACGCGCGTCTTAATATTTAAAAAACAAAAACGTTGGAAAATATTACACCACCTTCAAAAATAAATTTTCTTCATTGTTTTAGAAAATCTAATCAAATAACCCGTGTAAAAAAATAATATAAATATCGCTCAAAGAGTAATTATTATATAAAGCAATACGCAACGCAATGAGTAAATGAATGAGTGTTCGTGACAGAGATATCTTTTGGACGAATGTCGGTCGTACTTGTAGCAAAGCTTGAAAAAGCGAATAAAAATATTTTTATCGTTCTTCTTTTCGCTCCACGCGCCGCAGAATTGCAGAACTCGGAAATTCAACGGCAGTACGTCCATACTTTCGAAACAGAATATTTATTTAGACAACAAAATAACCACCACGTCTTATGTCATATGTCTTGCTGTACTTCGAAAATAAAAAACTGTATAGAAAAGAGACAGAGGGATGTTTCATGCATTATTAACGCGTTTGTTCTCGTGCATTAATAATAACCCGTTAGAACGGGTTTCTAAAATGCGTTTCTCAATGTTGTCGTGGCATTTCTTTTAACATTTAATATCGTCGAATAGAACTCTGCGCCGATATTTTCCGATGATTTCTTCTTCTGTCTCCGTATTTTATTTTCAACATTATTATCCGTTCGGATATCTTTGTGAGAACACACACGAAGACCGCGTGGTTGGTGTTTTGATAAATTTATGAGTTTCACTTATGCATCTCATATCGAGAAGTATGTTATTCTAAAAATAACGACCACCCGATGTTCCCACGAACATGTAAACGCGTAATATGTAGCTACTGTATTATTAGTATCTGATAAAAAAAAATATTTTTTTCTTTTTTTTTTTTTTGTTCTGTTTCAATTAGAATACAGTTGCTAACGAAGAACTTACAAAGTTCTAATTCGAAACTTGCTGTAACAAGTTAAAAGCAGAGTAGGACGTCCTTATGATCTGCGCAGACACATAAAAGAGAAACGAACATTTTTATAGTTTAAATGTAACATTTTGCTCTTTCGTTACACCACGTATCAAACTACTCACCCATGTGAAAGTGTTGAGAATTAACGAGCAGACTCCGTAAAACGAAAGTATTCTTCCTCTTTGGCTCATCATCATGACGAGCAACAAGTTTTTACGTTGCTTGGCTGATATGACTGTCCAGTTACTAGTGTAAACGGCATGTGCGATACTTTTATTCTGGGTAAAAACATACGTATATATGATTTATAAGATAAGTAAACTACTAAAATAAATCAAGAAAAACAATTAAAAGATCAGATTACCTTTAAATCCAGCTCATTGCCGTACCAACAATATGAGAACACTTGAAACATCATTGATCCTAAATACAACATAATATTGAAGAACTCGAAACTGAAAAGCTCTTTCTGCAATTACATTTCTTTATTTAATGTCTTATCAATGTGTATGTGATGTACATAATTTTTTTTAACTTTTATACATATATATATATATATATGTATATATATATAATATA